ACACACACACACACACACACACACACACACAGCACAAGACTCATCACCTGGCCCACAAGATAAAGGCGTGTTCCCCCAATACAGGATCAGCCACCAGTCCACCTTGTTGGCTCGAGCGCCGAGATCTCCGAGGCCCAGAATAACCTCTCTCAAAACTGGAGCCAATACACCTGGACAAGTGCAAGGTAGATTATTTGTATTGAGGGTACAGGAGAAAAAGAACAAAAAGAGTCGGAATATCATCATCTTGAGCGACTTCGTGAGCTTAGAATTGGATGGGGCGCCTGCAGATGATCAAGACTTAGTGGGAGGAGCAGAGGGCTATGGAATCAACCATTGCTTGGAACCGTCAGCATCTACACACTTCGAGATGTGCTTTTTCACGAGAGCTTATGGGAATGAGCCCCTTGTGCAGTGATGTCGGTCCTTCACACAAGTAAACAAACAAGTAAACAAGTATAGAGGATAGGAAAACATGATTAAAATGTAATCTAAAATGACATTTTGAAGAAGAAAAAACTTATAGAGAGTGAGAGAGAGAGAGAGAGAGAGAGAGAGAGAGAGAGAGAGAGAGAGAGAGAGAGAGAGAGAAACAGAGAAACCGAGAGAAGGGGAAGATAGGGGTAGAGAGGGATAAAATGAGACAAAAAGAGATAATAACGTGTATAACGGACAGAGACTGTGGTAGAAGGATGAGGAAGAGAAAGTAGGAAAGGGGGCCCGGGGGGGAGGGGGGGTATTCAAACTTGTATTCGTGTTTTCCTTAATATTTTTTTTTATTTTCCTCTCCTTGTTAGCGAACACAGAGTCATGGATATCCACAAACGTGGCTGTAATAGGAATTGTTGATGTTCCAAACCCACACGGTATTCGAACGTCTCTGCTGATCCTTTCTGAATTATTTTCCTTTGCCGTCTGGAGCTGCTGGACAAAAACGCGCGCATTTCAGGTTCGAACTGAGATAACACCGGACCTTTTTTTTTCATTTTTACGATCTGATGATGTGGGATTGCGTTTAAGTAAGTTAGCGTTAGTCCTATCTTCTTCTGCTCCAATGAGTCACGAGGGACGTGGGCACCCTCTACCCGGTTCCCTACTGGAACCATCTTTAACGTCACCGGGTAGTTCTCTCTATCTCTCTCTCTCTCTCTCTCTCTCTCTCTCTCTCTTTCTCTCTGTCTCTGCCTCTCCCCCCCTCT